GAGCCATCAGCAGCACGTTACTGCAGCAGCACGTCATAGCTGCTCATAGGAACCGCTGTGGTCAACAGAACCTTTTCCACTAGAGCCGTCGGCAGACGTCAGCAGCGCGAGTCGGCCGCGTCTCAGGAGCAGCATGTCGCGGTCTTTACGCGCCGGTTCTATTTTCTACGCGCGACGCCTCTGAAACGGGTCAAGTTCGACATTTTTGGGGAAGGAAAGACAGGAAATCGAACGCGGAAATTGGGAGAAGCTCCCGAGATTTTCAGAATAAAGAACGTACTGCCTTCCGGTTGCTTTACTTTTAAAAACAGTTATTAACTGTGCGTCCCCGTGAGAAGTTATCACACAGCTAGCGGTCTCCTTTGTTTTTCAGGTCCGTATTGGCGATTATAAAACAGACAGAACATAAAACACAAACCATGTTGTAGTTTTCTCCTGCTTGTTGTTGTGTTTACTGACGAAGTCACTCGTGTGACTTCGTGCTCGGTCGGTGACAGCTGCTCCCCTGCTGCTTCGCGTCTCGTGGGAAGAGCCAAGCAGCAGCTTACGCGAGTAAGACGTGCTGCTGCAGTAACGTGCTGCTGACGGCTCCCGTGGAAACCCGGGGTTAATCTCACCTGGATTCCTGCTCGTTTACCTCTTTTTCTCCAACGTTTTTCCGGGACTGATTAAACATCGCTGGAGGCGTCCTCGTAGGAATCATTTGGCTCTGGGCCAGCATGCCGCTCGGATAAACAAACAGGGAGGTACGTCCTCGGTGCATCTTGGGTGATCGTGAACGAACGGAAGGACAAAAGAGTCTGGCAATCATAGGAGCTGATAGCAGGGACACTACCGACGAGGATCGCAGACAGGAGTAAGGTGGAAAAAAGGTTAGTGGAGAAAAGTTTGAAAAAGTGGCCAGTGACCGCGGCTAAGCCAAGCACAGGCGCCATCTTGTTACCGACCGGAAGTGTTACTGTGAAGCAGTCAAAGCATTATTTAATCACTTTAGATAAAATAGAATCTGATTTTAAACAACCTGTAGAGTGAAAGAAATCATTTAATGAAACAGAATAAGAATCATTTTAATAAAAGAGTAAGGACCCGTCTTCCGCAGTAGACCTTGTAGATAGCAGCACCTAAGGGAAGGGGAGGAATGTTATGGCTTACTCTTCCTGGTGGCAAGACTAGGGAAGGTAAACAGGAGACTGTTTTGGTATGGAGAATCACACAGCATTCCTGGCAATAGAAACTGGCTGGACACAATGTGTGATGACCTCTGCCCACTGGCAGAGCAGGTTGTTGACCTTGTTGGACTTTTTCATTGCTACATACCCAACAGAGGGAGAGAGATTCGAGTAGTGTTATCTGAACTTGATTCTTGTGCGATTAATGTCTACGGGTATGTTTCTGACCTTGGTTCCATTCCTTTGATCTTCAGTAATTGTCCCTGTTGTTGATCTAGGAGGGAGAAACTTTGGGAGTGTGTTGAAAACTCCCTGTCCATTGAGCTCCCTCCTTGAACTTTGCTGTCTTGTGTTAGGTGGCCGTGAGCATGGGGCATGCCTCTGGGTTCTTGACGATTCCCGTCTGTGAGTCTAACCTATATAAATTGACTTCACCTTTGCCAACTGCCAATACACCTTCACACGCTGTCCCTTTGGCTACTCTAACTCACCCTCTGAGTTTAACTTCTTCTTAGACAAAGCCTGCCCGGACACTCATGAGCATGGTACCATCATCTACATTAATGATATTCTGGACCATGTCATGGGTCAGCTCACAGCTGCAGATGAGAAAATCTCCCTCACCAAAGGTCAGTGGTGCAGGTCAAAAGTACGGTTTGTTGACCTCCTTGTGGGACCACAGGGAGTGCAGCCTCAACATGGTAGAGTCCAGGGCATTGCCATCATTAACGCTCCAACGAATGTCTCTGAACTTTGGAGTTGTCTGAGGGTGTGCAAATACTCCCGTCAGTTTGTAGATAACTATGCGGGGTTGGCGAGAACTCTGACCGCCCTGCTGAAAAGGGATGTGGCTTTCAAGTGGTCTGAGCAACAACAGCAGGCCATGGATGACTTGAAGGCCGCGTTGTGCTCTGCTCTGTGTCTGGTGCGTCCTGATTGTGACAAGAAATTCTACTTTGAGGTCAGGTTTTCTACCCACTGTTTGAGTGCCGGTCTGTAACAGATGTATGACTGCGATAGGCATGTCATAGCGTATGCGAGCAAGATCTTGTCCGGTCCTGAGTCCAAAGACTCTGACTGTGAAAAAGCTTTGCTGACCACCATGAGGACAGTTAAACACTTCTCTAACTACGTCGGTGGACAGAAAATCATTGTTGAAACTCAACATCAGCCTGTGACCTTCTTGAATTGTCAACGCATCAGAGATGGTGTGGTGACCAATGCACACATTGCATCATGGCTGTTGGTCTCCCCACGCATGTTGACTTGGACAGGGGAACTCACTTCACTTCTGAGGTGATGGAACACATCTGGCAGATGTTAGGGGTGGAGGCCACATTTCCACATTGGTTACAGGCCCCAGTCTTCTAGACAGGTTGAAAGGATGATCCTGCACGATTGACAGTATGTTGAAGAAACATGTCGACTAATCACAGAGCCTGGAATTTGAAGCTTCCGTTGGTCCTGATGGCTATTAGGGCCACTCCTTATGAGTCTACAGGCATCTCCCCATTTAAGATGACAGGACAGACAAAGGTCACCACTGGGAGACTGGCTAAGAAGCTTCTGCCAAAGTAGTCGAGACCGTACCTAATCACTGATAAACTTTCACCTGTCATGTATCAGGTCACGGTCACCAAAAGTCACAAAGATCCCTTGTACAGGTGGCTCACAGAAACCAAATCAAACCTCACAAGTTTTCAGGAAACTTAGGCGATGGTGTCCCCACCCTGAGTTCAGGTTAACTCAACTAGAATCCCAATGGGAGAGGGGGGTATTTTTCCCTTTTTCTCCCTCCCTCATTATCTGGCTCAAGTGATGAGAGTTGAAAAGTTTGTGCATGTCTCCATGTAGTTACAGGTGCTGGCCAGTAAATTAGAATATCATCAAAAGGTTGAAAATATTTCAGTAATTCCATTCAAAACGTGAAACTTGTACATTATATTCATGCAATGCACACAGACCAATGTATTTCCAATGTTCATTACATTTAAATTTGATATTCATAAGTGACAACTAATGAAAACTCCAAATTTGGTATCTCAAAAAATTAGAATATTCTGAAAAGGCTGAATATAGAAGACACCTGCTGCCACTCTAATCAGCTGATTTACTCAAAACACCTGCAAAGGCCTTTAAAAGGTCCCTCAGTCTTGTTTTGAAGGCACCACAATCATGGGGAAGACTTCTGACTTAACAGCTGTCCAAAAGACAATCATTGACACCTTGCACAAGGAGGGCAAGACACAAAAGGTGATTGCTAAAGAAGCTGGCTGTTCGCAGAGCTCTGTGTCCAAGCACATTAACAGACAGGCGAAGGGACGGAAAAAATGTGGTAGAAAAAAGTGTACAAGCTCTAGGGATAACCGCACCCTGCAGAGAATTGTGACGACAAACCCATTCAAAAATGTGGGGGAGATCCACAAAGAGTGGACTGCAGCTGGAGTCAGCGCTTCAAGAACCACCACGAGGAGACTCATGAAAGACATGGGATTCAGGTGTCGCATTCCGTGTGTCAAGCCACTCTTGAACAAGAAACAGCGCAAGAAGCGTCTCGCCTGGGCCAAGGACAAAAAGGACTGGACTGATGCTGAGTGGTCCAAAGTTATGTTTTCTGATGAAAGCAAGTTCTGCATTTCCTTTGGAAATCAAGGACCCAGAGTCTGGAGGAAGAGCGGAGAAGCACAGAATCCACGTTGCATGAGGTCCAGTGTAAAGTTTCCACCGTCAGTGATGGTGTGGGGTGCCATGTCATCTGCCGGTGTTGGCCCACTCTGTTTCCTGAGGTCCAGGGTCAATGCAGCCGTCTACCAGGAAGTTTTAGAGCACTTCATGCTTCCTGCTGCTGACCAACTTTATGGGGATGCAGACTTCACCTTTCAACAGGACTTGGCACCTGCACACAGTGCCAAAACCACCAGCACCTGGTTCAAGGACCATGGTATCCCTGTCCTTGATTGGCCAGCAAACTCGCCTGACCTTAACCCCATAGAAAATCTATGGGGTATTGTGAAGCGGAGGATGCAATACGCTAGACCCAACAATGCAGAGGAGCTGAAGACGACTATCAGAGCAACCTGGGCTCTCATAACACCTGAGCAGTGCCACAGACTGATCGAGTCCATGCCACGCCGCATTACTGCAGTTATTGAGGCAAAAGGAGCCCCGACTAAGTATTGAGTGCTATACATGCACATTCTTTTCATGTTCTTTCTTTTCAGTTGGCCAACATTAGAGAAACAAACATTTTTTCATTGGCCTTTAGAATATTCTAATTTTCTGAGATACCAGATTTGATGTTTTCATTGGTTGTCACCTATAAATATCAAAATTAAATGTAATGAACATTGGAAATACATTGGTCTGTGTGCATTGCATGAATATAATGTACAAGTTTCACGTTTTGAATGGAATTACTGAAATATTTTCAACCTTTTGATGATATTCTAATTTACTGGCCAGCACCTGTAAGCTGCAACCAAGGCTGCCTGAAGTAGGCCAACAAAACCTGCAACTTAGCAACAGGACTAGCTTCTTACTTAGTGATTTACACAGAGCAACTCACAGATAAAGTCAAATAAGCATCACTCTCATCTTATAATACTCACATGATAAACACGCACACCAAGGGTAACTCACACAGGAACGCACGAGAAAAACGCTGATCATTCAACACCTTTCAGCTGTGCTGAACTGCGCTAAACACGTTCCCAACGGGAAGTACAGATACCGAGGTGCATCATGGGTAATCTAGTCTAAACGGTGTTCACAAACATTTTTCCTCTGGAAAGCGGACTTTTAACACCAGTATTGTCTTGTGTCTTTTTTCAGTACTTTTATCATCGAAAAACAGCCCCCCCAGGTATTAAAAACTCAGACCAAGTTTGCTGCAACAGTCCGCCTTCTGGTGGGGGGGAAACTCAATGTCCACATGAACCCGCCACAGGTCAAGGCTGTCATTGTCAGTGAGCAGCAGGCCAAAGCTTTGTTGAAGAATGAAAGTACACACAGGTAAGGAGTCGGCAGCCTAGACATCTAAATACACTGACCAAAAATATAAACCTAACATTTTTGCTTTTTCTCCTGTTTGTCATGAGCTGAAACATTTTCTAAATACACCTGTCATGGTCTGCGTCCTGTGTCCCCCCCCCAGGTTCCCCTTATGTGTCTCCTTGTGTTCCCCAGCCCCCCTCTAGGTTCTCCCCGTAGGTTTCTGTGCCCCTTTAGGTCTCCAGCTCCCACCAGGTTTTCCCAGGTTCACTTATGGTTTAGTTTTCTTTGTATTTATATTATCTAGCTAATTTTCCCCTGTAGTTTCTTAGGTTCAGGTTTCCCTAAAGGCCCTTCCCCACCGGTTTATTAGTTCTTTCCTCCTTAGATCATTAGTTATTTGTCTTGTTCTTCTAGTCTCTAGGTTTGGTTATTATTCATATGTCATGTTTTATTTCCCCTCCTCAGCTTAGTTTCCTCTCCCTGATTAGTAGATTGATTTCTCCAGGTTTCTCTCTCCCCACGCACCTGCAGCTCATCTTCCAATCATCCTGCCCCTGTGTGTAAAACCCTGTCTGTGTCTCAATATGTTGTTGGTCCATTGTCCTTGTCAGCTCTTTAAGTGAGCTCTTTGTCTCTAGGTCTCTTGGTTTTGTTCATACTAGGATTTTTGGATTTGCGGTTTTATTCCAACTCCTGCCTCGTGTCTTCCTGGTTCTGCATCTTGGGTCCTAAACCCCCCCCCCCCACACACACACACACACACACACACACACACAGAGCATGAGAACACCAACAACTCAGTAATCTCAAATATTCTTTACAAATCTGTCTACATCTGCGCTAGTGAGCACTTCTTCTCTCCCGAGATAATCCTTCCCTCCTTCCCCTCCGTCTCTCCATCATCAAGTCACCACGTATCATTTCATTTCGTAATATTAAGGACATTGATCTAGCCTCCCTGTCCTCCAGTTTTGCCACCCTGACCCTTAATTTGTCCTCTACTCCCGATGATCTTGTCATTCAGTACAATAACGGTCTGGTTTCTATCCTTAATTCATTTGCTCCCATCAAATCCCGCTCTGTATATTTTACTCGGTCTGCTCCATGGTTCACCCCTGCCCTACGCTCCTTGAAAGCTACCAACCGGAGGCTTGAAAGACTACAAGAAAATCGGTCTCTCCATCCATAAAGACTTATATTCTGCTCAGATTTCTCTCTACAAGGACACCATCTCCCATGCCAAATCACAGTATTACTCCGGTCTCATCTCGTCCAACTCCAGCAACACTAAGACATTATTTTCCATCATGAACAGCATTTTTCAGCCTCCCGACTCCTTACCCATCCATCTTTACTCTTCAGAAACCTGTAACTCTCTCCTTCAGTTTTTTAATGAGAAGGTCAATAGAATCCATCTCTCTTTACCTCATTCCTCCCCTCCCTCTCCTGATTTATTTGAACCCTCCATTCAGTTCTCCTCCTTTGAACTTCCCCATCCCTCAGAACTATTGGATTACATCACCAAATCCAAACCTTCCACCTGTCACCTGGACCCTATTCCAACAGTTTTAGTTAAATCCTGTCTTTCCTCTCTGCTCCCTTTTATAACGGCCATTATTCATTCCTCACTATCCTCTGGTACGGTCCCATCCCTATTCGAATCCGCTTCAGTCAGCCCTATTCTAAAAAAACCTGGTTTAGATCCCAATGATTTCAATAACCTCCGTCCCATTTCCCATCTTCCCTTCATTTCCAAAGTCCTTGAGAAAACTGTTGCATCTCAGCTCAATTCCCATCTCACCCGCAATAACCTTTATGAACAGTTTCAGTCTGGCTTCCGTCCCCACCACAGCACAGAAACAGCTCTCATCAAGATCACTAAGGACCTACTCATTGCTGCTGATTCTGGTTTAATCTCTATTCTTATTCTCCTCGATCTGAGCGCAGCCTTTGACACCATTTCTCATCCCATCCTCCTTAATAGACTCTCTTCCTTAGGCATCACTCACACCCCCCTCCGCTGGTTTCAATCTTACCTTACTGGCCGCACTCAGTTCATCCAGTTAAAATCCTTTACCTCAGAACCCTCCCCAGTCAAGTCAGGTGTGCCCCAGGGCTCTGTCCTGGGGCCCCTCCTCTTCATAGTATACCTCCTCCCTATCGGCAAAATCTTCCACAAATTCAATATCCAGTTTCACTGCTTTGCGGATGACACCCAGCTCTACATTTCCAGTAAGCCCAACTCAACTCTCCCACCATCCTCCCTTACACTCTGCCTCTCTGAAATCAAATCGTGGTTCACCTCTAATTTCCTCAAACTCAACGGCAATAAAACTGAACTTCTTCTAGTTGGCACTAAATCCACCATCTCAAAATCTGACAGCTTTTCTTTAACTATTGACAGCGCCACAGTCTCCCCCTCACCTCATGTCAAGAGTCTGGGTGTCATTCTCGACAGCTCACTTTCTTTTCAGGCTCACATTAATAACTTAATTCGGTCAGCATACTTCCATCTACGTTCCATAAACCGTCTCCGTCCCTCACTGACCCCTCACACTGCCGCCATTCTCGTCCACAGCCTCGTCACCTCCCATATCGACTATTGCAATTCACTTCTTTATGGTCTTCCCAACAAGCTCCTTCATAAACTGCAACTGGTCCAGAATTCAGCAGCCCGTATCATCACCAGAACCCCTTCCTTTCACCACATCACCCCGGTTCTCCAGCAGCTTCACTGGCTCCCAGTTAAATTCAGGTCCATCTTCAAAATTCTCCTTCATACCTTCAAAGCAATCCACAACCTCTCTCCTCCATATACCTCAGACTTTATAAGTATTCACACCCCATCCCGTTCTCTCAGATCTTCTTCCATCCATCTTGCGGTTCCTTCTGCCCGTCTCGCTACCATGGGGAGCAGAGCTTTCAGACGCTCTGCTCCTCGACTCTGGAACTCACTTCCCCCAGACATCAGGAACATCTACAGTTTTACACTTTTCATAACAAAACTCAAAACACATGTTTAAATCTGCCTACAACCTCTGATTTTATTGAACTGTTTCTCTCTTTGTTTTTTCTTCTTTGGGTTTTATTATTGTTTTATTGTATTTTATTAAGTGTTTTGTGTAAAGTGACCTTGGGTGTCCTGAAAGGCGCTTTTAAATAAAATGTATTATTATTATTATTATTATTCCCTCTAGGCTTGGGTGGTATCCAAATTCTGATACCATTAAACTTTCTCCACATTTTACCAAGGTGTAAGGTGTTACTGTTGCCAATTAAAAATTATGCCATAAGCCTCAAGTGACATTACCTTCACTGTTCAGAAACTGAATCTCCAACACTATTATTACTGAAAAAATAACGACCTTTTATTAAAAAATGCAGCTGATTACAAAGTTTTCTCACCAGATAAAAAGCATTTTTACTTTTCCATCTTCAACATTGCATGCTATTGGCCGACAACGTTCCCTGCAGTACTGAAAACCTGCTCCAATGATGAGCTTGTGGCAGTTAGCCGGTCACAACATCTGGGAAGAGGGTAGCAGCATATTTCCACCAGAAAAGCGATTTGTCATCTCCTTGAATGGCAGCCTTCAATTAGGCTGTAGTTTCAACTTCGGAGTGCTTCTCTGTGGTGTTGACGGGACCTGCATCTTGTTGTCACTTCTTCATTGCACGGGGAACACTTGTGGGCGAGCAAACACTCATTGACAGAACACCAGTGTCATTTGCTCAAAACCAAAAATATCTTTTTTTTTTCGTCACCCAAGTCAATTAATGCACGACCTGCCCTTTCTCTTCCTTTCTGCTTGGTGGCTCTCTCTCTCTCTGTGCTGTCACTCGATGACTTCATGTTAGTAAACTTAATGAAATGTCTCAGAAAGTCAGCCTTAACATATTAAACTATCTTCTTTCTTTCTTTTTCTTTCTTTCTTTCTTTCTTTCTTTTTCTTTCTTTCTTTCTTTCCTTTTCTTTCTTTCTTTCTTTCTTTCTTTCTCTTTCTTTTTCTTTCTCTTTCTTTTTCTTTTCTTACTCTTTCTTTTTCTTTCTCTTTCTTTTTTCTTTCTCTTTCTTTTTCTTTTTCTTTTTTTCTTTTACTCTTTCTTCTTCTTTTTTCTTTCTTTTTTTCTTTCTTTCTTTCTCTTTCTTTCTTTTTCTTTTTTCTTTCTTTCTTTCTTTTTCTCTTTCTCTTTCTTTTTCTCTTTCTTTCTTTTTCTTTTTTCTTTCTCTTTCTTTCTTTTTCTTTTTTCTTTCTTTCTTTTTTCTCTTTCTCTTTCTTTTTCTTTCTTTCTTTCTCTTTCTTTCTTTCTTTCTTTCTTTCTTTCTTTCGTTTGGTTTATAGCATTAACATAAAATTTTTCTTATCAAACAAAACAACAATATTAACAACTTGAATTTAAACCAAAAAAGGAATAGGCAGAAGCAATGCTTATTTTAGCCTACCCTATTTTCCACCTAAGATACATAACCAATATACATTTCTTTTATTTTCCCCAATATAAATAACCACAATGAAAATTAATTAATGTCTATACATACTTTTCATACCCTGTAAATATGTGACACTTTACACCTGCTTTAAACTTTAGTAAAGAAGTACATTTCTTCAAATCATCATCTACCTCTTTCCACAATTTCACACCAACAACGGAAACACATCTTGATTTCACATTAGTTCTGGCTTTTACACATTCAAACATAAATACACCTCTGAGATTATAATGATCATCTCTTGGTTTGAAATAAACTTTAATGCAATTTGGGATATTATTATTAACGACTTTATGAAGAATCTCTAAGATTTTTACTTTAATTATATCTCCTAATTTTAGTGTTTTAGTTTGACTAAATAGATTATGGGTTGGTTCGAGGTATTCCAATTTATTATCTATTCTAATTGCCTTTTTTGTCATTTAAATACAGTCTCAACACATGTTTTACCTGCATTTCCCCAAACCTCTGCACAGTAAGACAAATAAGGCATAACCAAAGAGCTATAAATCAAAAACAAGGCTTTTTTATTTAGTACATCACTAGTTTTATAAAGTATAGCAATATATTTAGACTTTTGCCGTTTGATATATTTGATATGTGGTTTCCAACTGAGTTTACTATCAATAATCACACCGAGGAATTTAGTCTCATATACTTGTTCAATTGGGACTCCATTTAAATATAGCTTAGCACCGTCATTGTCCCTGTTCCCTGAAAATATCATAAATTTGGTTTTATTTTCATTTAGTGATAGCTTGTTTTAATCAAACCATTTGTTAATTCAACCCAATTCGTTTTCAACCTCTTGTAATAATTTACTCATATCTTTTCCCATACAAATGAAATTTGTATCATCTGCAAACATAATAAATTTTAACCGAGACGATACAGAAAAGATGTCGTTCAGGTATAGGTTGAATAATTTCGGTCCTAGCACCGAGCCTTGCGGTACACCACATATTACTCTTTCAAGCTGTGAATCTATATCATTAACATTTACATATTGAAATCTACTGCTTAAATAACGAGCAAGCCATTGATTGGTTTTACCACGAAGACCATAGTATTCACATTTCTTGAGCAGGTATGTGTGATCAATTGTATCAAATGCCTTACTCAAGTCAATTAAGACAGCCACTACATGAAGTTTTTGATCCACTGCTGTTGCAGTCTGCTCTACCAAATCCATAACTGCTAATGAGGTTGAACGATTCTTCCTAAACCCATACTGATGGTCGTTGAAAAGATCAAACTTGTTGATAAATGCTTCAAATCTAATTACAAAAAGTTTCTCAAGTATCTTTGAAAACTGTGGCAGTAAAGAGATAGGTCTATAGTTAAAAGCTAATAATTTATCACCACTTTTATAAATAGGAATAACTCTGGCTATTTTCATTTGTTCAGGGACTGTGCCACTTGAAAAGGATTTATTACAAATATAAGTAAAAGGTTCAGCAATGCAATGGATAACCTCCTTGATGAGAGACATATCTATCCCATGAAAATCTAAGGACTTTTTTCTTTTGAAACTATGTACCGCTTGGATCACATCACTGTGGCTTACACTGCTCAAAAACATTGTATTATTGTTTTTATTTATTTCATGGTTAATTTCAACTTCTGGCAGCTTTTTAGATAGATTAGGGCCAACATTCACAAAATATTTATTAAACTCATTTGCAATGTCCTTTTCATTTTTATTGTGAATATCTATACCTGCTTCTTTTGTATTTCTTATTAATTTATTTAACACATTCCATGTACCCTTAGTATTATTTTTGTGTTTTAGGAAAAGCTGATCATAATATTCCTTTTTTGCTTCCTTATTATTGCAGTTAATTTGTTTTTATATTCCTTATACCTCTTTTCTTTGTCCTTTGTTGGATTTTTTATAAAATCTAGATACAGTGATTTCTTTTTCTGGCAAGCCCTTTCCAATCCCCTAACAATCCAGGGTGGGGACCTTTTTTTTAAGTTTTGCTTATGATATTTTAGAGGACAATGTTTATCATAAGCTCACAAAAATATTTCTAGAAATGCATTATAAGAATTATTAACATCATCAACATAAACAGTCCAATCAGAACAAAACAGTTCAAATTTCAGAGCTTCAATTGCTACAGGAGTTTTTTTCTAGTTGTGGTATATTTTACATTTTCCATATCTAAATAAAAATGAAAATTCATCCAGCCATCAGTTTCAGGATTCTCAATAAAATTCGGTATAAGAGAAAAAGACTGTGTAATTTGTTATTGTTTGTTTTGACAGTGAAAGCAGCGGGGACATCCTTAACAACAACTGTGTTATGGAGTATCATCAAGGCACCGGCACACTCAGCGCCCACTTCAGAAACATGGTAGGCTATCTGGGAATATAAAACGTGTGTGTGTGTGTGTGTGTGTGTGTGACTTTCTACCTACTTACATACGTGCATATCTATACGGATTGATAGAAGAATTAGCAGTTTTTTTATAACGTGCCTCAAGATTAAAATCACAAGAACAAAAACAAATAAATGAATAATAATTAATAAATGTAATAAAGAAGGAGAAAAATAATTTGGATAAAAAATAAACAGAGAATTGGTAGAAACCGCAGCTTGAAGAGAATGTTGTGAGGAAGAATCAACCGAAGGTCACGCCAAAGCCAGTCTGAAGAGGTGAGCCTTCAGCTGCTTTTTAAAGGAGACCACTGAGTCCACTGATCTCAGGCTCAGGGGGAGAGAGGTCCAGAGTCTGGGGGCCACAGCAGCAGATGATCTGTCACCTTTGGTCTTTAGCCTGGTGCTGCACAACCAACAGACTTTGGTCGCTGGACCTCAGGGACCTCCTGGGGGTGTAGGGACTGAGAAGATCACCAGTGTATGGTGGGATGGATAGATAGAAAGATATATAGATGTATGGATGGATAGTTGGATGGATGGATGGGTAGGGAGGTTGATGGGTGGGTGGGTAGGTAGGTAGGTAGGTAGGTTGATGGGTGGGTGGGTAGGTAGGTAGGTAGGTAGGTAGGTAGGTGAATGGATGATAGATAGGCAGGTAAGTGCATGGATGGATGGATGTAGATGAAACATTTGAGGACTCGAGGTTGATGCACAAGTTTTGTGCGTTATTTAGCCCCACTAACCCCACATACTTGCTGTAGGCTGTATGTCTTAAACAAACATAATTTCACATGATGCTGATGTATGTCACTTACATGTCACTGCTTGGCTGTTTGTTTACAGTCACTGAAGCGAATCAAGCGCTCAGACCGTCGAGGTGCCGAGTCGGTCACAGAGGAGAAGTTCACTATTCTGTTTGAGTCACAGTTCAGTGTTGGGGGTAACGAGTTGGTTTTTCATGTCAAGGTTAGTCACTTCCTTTTATTATCTTTACTTACATTTTTAGTGCTGATTCAGCATTAACGCTATAGTGATCCTGTTTCTCTTTAATCTTCTTTAAGAAAAATCTGTCTGCATTTTCTGTTTATGGTACCAAGTGGGTTTTTAGTAGGGATGAGCGAGTATACCACTATCTGTATCTGTTCAGCCATCTAAATGATCTCAGCCGGTGCGAGGAAACATGACTCAGTGTCTCCGGTTTTAGCTTCTTTGCACTGGCTGCCAGTCAAGAGTTTAATATTTTATTGTTGATTTTTAATCTTTGCATGGGAAGGCAGCTACCTACTTATCTGACCAGTGTGTTCCCTATTGCCTTTCCAGAGCGCTAAGGTCCTCTGGTCAGTCGACCTTGTTCATTGCCCAGCTGCAGGCCGTCTAATGGTTTCATGTGTAGGGAGGGGCGGATGCTCTGTGTGACTGGCTAGTCACAGAGAGTGAAGACAGTCAGTTACCCAGTGAGGATTTCCCTTCAGCACGATTACAGATATTTACGGCTTTTAATCGTTTTATGCTCGTACTCGTCAAAAATGCTTCATCCGTTTCAGACGAGTACCCGGCTCAACCCTAGCCTTTAGGAGGCATGATGTTATCCAGAAACAGCTGAGCTAATTTCTAGGGCTGATGTGATTTCTAAAGTAGAAACTGCTGCAGCCGCGTGTCAGCGGAGTTTTGTAGATTGAATCATTAGTTTGCATGACTAACTTTAATTTTTTCTGAGCTTAAAGGGACAGTCAAAACATGTTTAGAAATAATAAATGTCTTCTTCATACGTTCTCCTGCAATGCCCTGGTCCTGTAGAATGAGCCCTGGCATTTTTACTGTGATTGCCTGTTTTTCTGTAAAACCACAGAAAAAGAGAGATGCTCGGGTCGAGCAGGCTGCTTCATGCGCGTTCACGCTCAGGCATCGCCCGTAGCATTTGCTATCCGTAGCTTTAGCAGCAGAGAGTGAGGTAGTGCCAACTCAGCGACTTTGTCGCTGTTCCTAACGCCTAGTGATGAACCTAGCTACATTTCTGAGGACCCTTAGCTACTTTTTTCTAGATATTTCCTGCAAATTAGCAACAAAATAGCCATTTTTGCTCTGAACCGTTCTTTGAACGTTGTTTCAGCTGTCATCAAGGGTATAAAAGTTACAGATATAAAAGACGTCACTGGCGCTTTAGCTCACCTAGTAAGACGTCGGAGTCTCATGGGAAAGACCCGTGTTCGATTCTGGATGTGAACATAGATTATTTAGAGTTTATTTTTTACATTAATGATATATTTTTTTACAGTAAGATGCCCAAATTTTTATTTGAGAATCGCCGAACGGCATTGAATTCACAGATAAAAAAGATGTGGGATCAACTTTCATTTTGGAACAATTTTTCAAGCGAGGGAAGGGAATGATCTGAGCATGCAGGAGGACTGACCCATCATAAACCTTTGTCGGCTGTGCTGAAGAGAAAGGTACAGAACCACATTATTTAATTAATTAGCTGCACGTTCTCCTGTCCTCTGTCCTCCGGGACACACACACACACACACACACACACACACACACACACACACACACACACACACACACACACACACACACACACACACACACACACACACACACACACACACACACACACACACACACACACACACACACACACACACACACACACACACACACACACACACACACACACACACACACACACACACACACACACACACACACACACACACACACACACACACACACACACACACACACACAGCTGACTGTCTCAGCTGTTATTTTCGTTAAGGAGTGTGCACGTACAGCATGTGCGCCTCGTGCACGAGCCTACTATTGAAGCTGCCGTTACGCTTTTGGCCTGAGGGGGCGATCGCGAGCATAAAAATTCAAAACTCCGTAAAGTCCCTTTAAATAGACTTTTAAAAGGATTTTACGTTTTCTTGTTGAGACCCCAGAGCGCTGGGCTTTGAAATAAATGCTGCAAATGTTACACTTAAGGTACGAAATTATTTCTCCCAACATGCCAGCAGTGTCTCAGCTGAGTTCAGAGGGTTAGGCTTTCTGCAGCTCAGAACTTTTGTTATTGACTTTTTCTGTAAGGATATTTTTCAGCTTAGCTTCAGTTCTTAAGCAGCTTCAGCTATCATTTTCATCGGTTAGCATTCAAACCACATTCCTGCCAGAAATGCAGTTTATCCAGTTCAAAACTATGGAAGAAACTGATGCACTGTTGAGTTCAATGTTGTGTCAGGACTTTGTCAGGTTCAAGTTGAAAATAAAAATGTTTGTTAACTGTATGAATGTGACGTTGTTCCTCTTGCACTCATCCCTTTTCTCTGTTACCTGCAGACCCTGTCTTTACCTGTAGTTGTGATTGTCCATGGCAGCCAAGACAACAACGCCACAGCCACCGTCCTGTGGGACAACGCCTTTGCTGAGCCGGTAGTCTGATTTCACTGTTATTATTATTGTTGTTTACATTTTAGACTCAGTTTATCCTACAAGGTTTAAGAAATTATTAGATTATATTTAGAAAATTATGACAATGTCATGTTTAGTGACCCACCTCCCCTTTCACACAAATGAATGAAATGTGTTCCCATCCCATTCCCATACACCTACCTACATATCCATCCATCCATTCTTGACAATAATAATTCCTCGTTTTCTTGAGTGTGTGAATGTCAAAGGGCATACGTTCTTCTCTTTTCATCTTGCTAAAGTATCCAGTATGTTTTAGTTTTCTAATCCAACACAATTGATTTACCTGTGCAGCAGCTCATCAGGCTCTGCAGAAGCCTGTTAATCACCTCCTGATTGAAATCAGGTGTGCTGAAGCAGGGAAAACAGTAGAAACATGCTGGATTCTGGCCCTCGGGGAAGGGAGTTGGGGATCGCAGCTCTAGTACATTACTTATTTTATTCATTATTTAACCAGGAAGGTCCTATTGAGATTAAAAACCTCTTTTTCAAGGGAGTCCTGGACAAGAGGCAGAAAAGCTACAGTTACAGAAATACTCAGTTAGACAAAAATATAGAAGGCAGTAATTATCTCATGGGGAGGGCTTTCTGGTAGAATATTCTGAGCTGATTGGTGGACGCGCAAGGTAGTGCCTGGCTGGCACTGGCTACCATGTTTTGTCTTCAGCCAATCACAGTAATGTGCTCATTTTATTTTTATAACAACAATAAGCAACATCAGATTATGATTTGTTCATTTATTTAATCGTTTGTCAGGCTCCGCCAACACAAATAGTCCCAACACGAAACGGAGACTCAGATAAGGCTGTTGCTAGGCAACACAAACATTTTCTACAAAGCACTGTGATAATGGTTAGAACGGCTGTGCATAGCGAGTGATACTGTCTGTAAACAGGCCCAGTGCTGTTATGGTCCAATATCAGCACTCTTGGAAAGACTCTTGACCAATCAAATCACTCGGTTGGAACTAACTGTTGTATAATGACCATTGAAACAGCGTCAAACCGAGACGTTGTGTTATGGTTGAAAAAGTTGTTCCAAAATGGATGTTTGGAAAATAAATGCCTGGATTTGAACCAACGTCTTTTCTGGCCGTGAAATAAACTTCTTTAAGCTCGTCTCATTTAAATGTTTAATTATTAAAATTTAGGCTTCTTATTACTTTTAAAATAACATATCATTAGTATAATAAAATATTATTAGTGGAATAAAAAAAAATCCCTGTATGCCATCTGACTCGGAATCTCGTCTGTCCCAGCCTTGACTTGGACCCGGGTCTGCGACGTTTAGAGAGGATGCCTTGCAAGTTTAGCTATCTCTTAGACATGTACATAATGTCACCTAGTGGATGTACACTTACAACTGATTCACAACATGCGCTATGTTAAATACATGTAACTAGTCGTCAAAATAGCAATTTTACATGTAGTTGTAGACATGTACAAAAATATCTGAATGGATTTTTAGATAATTTCCTGTTACACATGTTTAAACAAATTTAAGACGTTCGATCGCGACCATTTTTGGCCGTGGACACTGCACATCAACCGGCGAGGCCATGTTTGTTTTTGCTTAGCCAGGTGCTCGATACTATCATCAAAACAAAGCCCCACCCTACAGCACAGTGCTGATACACGATTGGATCGGCCTGTTTTTGGCTAGAGGTCGGACGGTTTGAACTGGAGCAGTACAAGATGAATTCTCCAGAGTTTGAAAAACTCAAAATCTCGTGAGAATTAATTTTGCAACTCAAGGTTAGAGAAGTTACACCTCTCTGTGAGATTAATTTACAAATATAGGTGGGTAGTAGTCCAAGCCTTTTCCTTAAAATGAAACTAAGCACATCTGGGACATCATGTCTCGCTCCATCCACCATTGCTGCATCAGTGGATGCTTTAGTCCAGCTCTGGGAGGAGATCAATCAAGAGACCATCCACCACCTCATCATGAGCATACCCAGGTGTTGTAGGAAGGTCATACAGACACTACTGAGACTCATTTTGACTTGTTGTAGGTCATTATATCAAAGTTAGATCAGCCTGTAGTGTTTTTCCACTTTAACACTGAGTGACTCCTAATCCAAACTGCCTTGAGTTGATATGCTGGTTTCCATTTATATCTTTTGTGTGACTTTGTTGTCAGCACAATTAACCATGTAAAGAACAAAGTATTCAATAAGAATATTTTATTCGTTCAGATCTAGGATCTTTTATTTTGGTTTTCCCTTTATTTTATTGAGCAGTGTATAAAAAGTCATTTCAACATGATGGTTGTTGCCTTGGATTAATTGTGTTTGGTTGCCTTCCTTCAGGGCAGAGTACCGTTCATTGTTCCTGACAAGGTCCTGTGGACTCAGCTATGTGAGGCTCTTGATATGAAGTATAGGGCAGAGATGCACAGTGGGCGTGGCCTAACCGACGACAACCTGGTCTTCCTGGCACAGAAGGCTTTTACCAGCAGCAGTAACAATCCAGAGGATTACCGGAACATGACCATATCCTGGGCCCAGTTCAATCGGGTAAGCCCAGCTCGTCTTCTCACCTCTCTGTTATCACAACAATGTGATTGGATCATCGTCTCATTAACAAATGTCGTCTCAACTGTATCTTTAATATTAAAGAGAACATGTTTTGGGAATCTGACTTTTTGCATCTCTTAGTGCTGCCGTCTGGGTCTCTACTACCCCTACAACAGGGTATCCCCGGGTCTTAAAGTCTTGAATTTGATTAAAGGAAAATCATGACCCTAAAAAGTCTGAAATGGATTTAGGAGATGAAGGTGTGGAGAACTGTCTCAAGTTCAGAGCGGGACAGAATGGGACTCAGCTTAGCAATGTTCCTGAGATGGAAGAAGGAAGAGCCAACAAGGGAACTGACATGAGAATCCAGGGTGAGAGCTGGGTCAAAGGTCACGCCAAGATTCCTGACAGAGGGTTTGGTGTGGGAAGCAAGCTGACCAAGAGAGTCTCTGACTTTGGGAACCAGCTTGTCTGGGGCACCGATGAGGATCTCAGTCTTATCTTCATTCAGCTGTCATCTGCATAAAGATGGTAGGAGATTCATTTGAAGAAGCTCAGGATGTGCTGAAGAGGAAGCAGATAGAGCAGGAAGAGCAGAGGCCCCAGCACAGAACCTTGTGGGACACCATGGGTAAGAGAGGTGGTGGAGGACCTAAACTTGGAGACGGCCACAGAAAAGGAGCACTCAGAAAGGTAAGAGGAGAACCACTCCAGAGCAGATCCTGATAGGCCTACCCAGTCTCTCAGCCTCTCCAGCAGCAGGTGATGGTCAACAGTGTCAAAGGCTGCAGTCAGGTCCAGCAGGACCAGAACAGAACAGTCCCCTGCATCACTGTGGGTCAGAAGGTCATTAGAGACCCTAAGAAGAGCTGTTTCAGTAGAATGAGCTCTACGAAAACCCGACTGGAAGCTATCATAGATGTTATGTTCATGTTAAATCTAAATGGTGTTAAATCGAGCCAACACTACTGTTAAGTGTACATTTTTAACACTCCTAGTGTATTCTCATAACACCGATCAAGATTCAGATTACACTTAAACTATGGAAAGTGTTCAATTTAAAATGGATATATATGTGTTGGGTAATTTTATCAATCCAAGATTACCTTAGGGAAAGTTTAGGGAAAGTTTAATGCACAAGGGGGTTATAGTAATCAATCAATCAACACCAATACCAATCATAAACAATCAATTTAGACTTTGCAAACTGGAGAGGAAAATCAATACACACCAAGCACGGGTCTCAGTTGACTCTCATCAGACCGGAAGTCCTCCGACAGTATTTATTAGCACACAAGCACACACAAAGATTAACACACACACATTTCGCATTTATTACGTCCCCAGCTCTCTAGAGCCCCCTTCAGACAGGCCATGAAAAACGGAAATGTTCCGGACTCTGTCCGTAAGACCTTTGTGTGTGAATACAAACATCCAGAAAACGTTTTCCGTAATTTAACCGGACGACGCCCCTAGTAACAGGTCCGGACTTGTTACGGACAGGTTGGCTGCTTCAGACTGGTGAGGTCGAGTTCCGGACAGGGAGGAGGGGACCGGGGGACGCTGTGCGCACCTAGATAGCCCGCTCCTGTAGCATGCGGCGAACCATGGCAGCTTGCCTCCTACGGTACCGTCTCCTAGATGCGCGACAGAGCGCTTCACACCGCTTCCATGATTCCTTTGAAGCATTGAGCTTCATCATCCAGGTCTCTAGTGCATCTTCGTGTGCGCAGAATTATGCTTAACATAAGTCCGATCCCCCTCCCTCCCTCAGACATCTGGAACTTTTCCCTGCTGTGTGAAGGCAGCCGAAAAGACAAGTTCCGGTACAAAAGTGGTGTGTCTGAAAACACAGTTCCGGTTAAAAACCGGATTGAATTGTCCACACATATTCCAGAATGTCTGTCTGAAAAGGGCTTAGGAGAGATGAGGAGGGGAGTAATGGAAGTGGTGTGTGGATGAAATAATAAACAATGTGCTGTGTTGCTAAAACAAAGGATTTTATTTCAAAAAACACAAAAGAGCCTATACAAAAGGAGATAAGGTCAACATAAAATGCCAAGCCAAAAGGGCTGGGAGGAGAAAACTACCTAACAGAAATATTCAATATATAAACAAAACACTAAACTAACAAGAGACGTCCTGTTAAGCAGAGACGCTCGGGGGAAATCCAAAAGGGGAGTCGAAGGCCATTCCAAAGTCGAAGTCACCGAAAGTCTATCCAAAATCCAAACGTGCGAGTATACCACAATCTAACGAGCGAACCGAGTGTTACCAAAGAGCGAACGAGGAGAAGAGAATAGCATAAACTCCAGAAGAGTCTATACTACCCTGTACCTTCTCACTGAACTGTGGGCAGGGAGCGGCTTTTAACAGCTGCCAAGTGATCATCAATGATTGGAAACAGCTGGGCACCGGGAGACAGGCGAGGCAGAAGCCACTGAGGCCATCTTGTGGCCGAAAAGGGGCAATGCACGTAACACATTGCTTAGACTCAGGCGGGAAAGCTGTGAAGGGAGTCTAAACTCTAAAGCTCCAGGTGCACCCTAAATCAACAAAGCAATTTCTAGACTTTCTCAAGGGAGTTTTACTGATAAAGGCCGGTTCTGAGGCAAGGTCAATCCTCCTTGTAGGAACTAGTGGAGACTGGTATCTGTCAACAGGATGAAGCTGCGTTTTAATAAGGCACCAGATGTTTAGCAGTCAAGACATTAATATTAGCTCAATAATAATATCAGTTTTTACTTAACTATATATATATTTATATAATATACTCATATAAACAATAGAAAATATTTTAAAGTAATCCTGATCAATAATTCCAATACAGTCCCTAAAACACACACCTCTTAAATTTACATAGCATACCACACAAGTTGCAGTTTAAATACGTCTGTATTTTAAACAAGCACACCACATAAAAATAGCACTGGCTTTGCCAAAACTTCAACAAATGCTACACAATGTGGCAATGTGGCACAATGTATGTACAGGTGCTGGCCAGTAAATTAGAATATCATCAAAAGGTTGAAAATATTTCAGTAATTCCATTCAAAACGTGAAACTTGTACATTATATTCATGCAATGCACACAGACCAATGTATTTCCAATGTTCATTACATTTAAATTTGATATTCATAAGTGACAACTAATGAAAACTCCAAATTTGGTATCTCAAAAAATTAGAATATTCTGAAAAGGCTGAATATAGAAGACACCTGCTGCCACTCTAATCAGCTGATTTACTCAAAACACCTGCAAAGGCCTTTAAAAGGTCCCTCAGTCTTGTTTTGAAGGCACCACAATCATGGGGAAGACTTCTGACTTAACAGCTGTCCAAAAGACAATCATTGACACCTTGCACAAGGAGGGCAAGACACAAAAGGTGATTGCTAAAGAAGCTGGCTGTTCGCAGAGCTCTGTGTCCAAGCACATTAACAGACAGGCGAAGGGACGGAAAAAATGTGGTAGAAAAAAGTGTACAAGCTCTAGGGATAACCGCACCCTGCAGAGAATTGTGACGACAAACCCATTCAAAAATGTGGGGGAGATCCACAAAGAGTGGACTGCAGCTGGAGTCAGCGCTTCAAGAACCACCACGAGGAGACTCATGAAAGACATGGGATTCAGGTGTCGCATTCCGTGTGTCAAGCCACTCTTGAACAAGAAACAGCGCAAGAAGCGTCTCGCCTGGGCCAAGGACAAAAAGGACTGGACTGATGCTGAGTGGTCCAAAGTTATGTTTTCTGATGAAAGCAAGTTCTGCATTTCCTTTGGAAATCAAGGACCCAGAGTCTGGAGGAAGAGCGGAGAAGCACAGAATCCACGTTGCATGAGGTCCAGTGTAAAGTTTCCACCGTCAGTGATGGTGTGGGGTGCCATGTCATCTGCCGGTGTTGGCCCACTCTGTTTCCTGAGGTCCAGGGTCAATGCAGCCGTCTACCAGGAAGTTTTAGAGCACTTCATGCTTCCTGCTGCTGACCAACTTTATGGGGATGCAGACTTCACCTTTCAACAGGACTTGGCACCTGCACACAGTGCCAAAACCACCAGCACCTGGTTCAAGGACCATGGTATCCCTGTCCTTGATTGGCCAGCAAACTCGCCTGACCTTAACCCCATAGAAAATCTATGGGGTATTGTGAAGCGGAGGATGCAATACGCTAGACCCAACAATGCAGAGGAGCTGAAGACGACTATCAGAGCAACCTGGGCTCTCATAACACCTGAGCAGTGCCACAGACTGATCGAGTCCATGCCACGCCGCATTACTGCAGTTATTGAGGCAAAAGGAGCCCCGACTAAGTATTGAGTGCTATACATGCACATTCTTTTCATGTTCATTCTTTTCAGTTGGCCAACATTAGAGAAACAAACATTTTTTCATTGGCCTTTAGAATATTCTAATTTTCTGAGATACCAGATTTGATGTTTTCATTAGTTGTCACCTATAAATATCAAATTTAAATGTAATGAACATTGGAAATACATTGGTCTGTGTGCATTGCATGAATATAATGTACAAGTTTCACGTTTTGAATGGAATTACTGAAATATTTTCAACCTTTTGATGATATTCTAATTTACTGGCCAGCACCTGTATTTTCACACCTCTCGTTAGAAAATTGTTTGTCATATGGTCTGTAATAAACTAACTCCTTAATTGGAAAAACAGTAAATGAATCTGGTCTCTCATCGATACAGTATGCATTGAAATGATCATCAAAATAAACAGTGTCCACCATACCTGTCAAAATAAAAGCTTGGTCATCATGTACCCGGGTTTCCCCCAGAAAAAGTTAAACCTGGCGTCCTGCAGTGCTCCTCTGTGTCAGTGCGTTTACATGCAGCCAGTAACCCTTTAAAAACCCGAATATTCACAATAACCCGGTTCCGCACGGCCAAGTAAACACCGCCAAAAACCCGGATATGCTCATAACCGGGTTTTTAAAAACCCGGTTACTACACCTGGGGTAACCCTTTTCTAACCCGAATGTTT